CGCTCTTCCTGAGCGAAAAAGACTCTTGGAGACGTAACTGCTGCTTGACTGTACAATAGCTAGTGTACGCATGCCTTGTAGCTCAGGTGTTGCCTTGCTTGCTGTTGCTGTGGTTGTGTTAAGGTTAGATCACCAGCTGTGTGCAAGCAATTTTTGTCCCTGTTTTCAGCCAAGGTAGTAGGGCAGACCAGGCAGAGAGCTGGTGAAATGCCTTTGCTTCCCCATTGTGTGACGGAGTTTTATTGTCTGTGGCTCGGGAGGGTGGTATATGTGTGTTAAATTGGCAGTTTTACTGGGCTGTCTTTCAAGCAAGGGGTAAATTGACATCAAGCCTCCACTCCTTTATTTAAGGTGACTTCTGAATATTTAGACGTATTCCCCATTATTTTTTTTCAGCAGAAAATCAAAATGTTATCTTTGCCCTTACAGCTTTTGCCATAATCCACATATAAATGAGGTGATAAAAAGTGAGGATTAAATAAATCTTTGCTAATACTTTTTGATTGGCTTAATCAATAATTAATCATCTCTTAGATGAGGCTGTAGCTTGTGGAGTAGATATAATTGGATTAGCTGCTGAGAGGCCTTTGGAGCTTTGAAGAGATTAAAATGGCTGTCAATCCTGTAATTAAACTGCCACAAACAAAAGCAATAGTATTAGAATCAGTCAGCTTTTTTTAAATGAATCAACAAGTACTTACACACCCCTGGTAGTGGTGTAGGCAGTCTGTCCTCGTAGCTGATTTATTTCCTTCAACAAGATGAATATGTGTCAAATCATTGTTTTAATTGCCTGGGCATGTATTGGCCAGAATGGCAGGTGAAATTTTAGGAGGAAATGGCTGTCAGAGAACTCTTAGAAGAAAAGCTGGTTTGTGTATCTAAAACAGTGAACCTGCTCCTTGTCTTGAGGCCATTAGGCACTGACTTTTCGTGGTGTCTTTAATTGGCTAAGTAGGTTTGGCCTACATGAATGAAGTCTTTATCTGTCCTGCTCTTCCCCTCCCACCTTTTTTTGGAAGGGTTTTTTGTTCCGCTTTCTTCAAAACCGAGGGCTTTAGCAGAAGTAACTTCCTTTTAAAGGCTCATTATGTACTAAAGCATATACTGTACGTGACTGTATTATACACATATGAATTGATATGTGTGCATATGCTAATATATATTCTTTCTTTAAATCTCTTACAGAGATGAGCTTATAAAACCAATGGGAGTGCGGCCGGATGGTACAATGGCTCCTTTGGAAGAAGCAGTCAGCCAGTACCATACCAACAAGCAAGAGAGTTCAGATTCAGACTAAAGCATCACCTGCTTCACTCTCAATTCTCCTCTAATCCACACTTTTCCTTAGAGCCATGACATCCTTTATCTAGGCATTTTATCCTCACGTTAGCCAGCATCACTTTAACTGTTCTGTTACTGGGATATTTAAATGATGGGTCCTGTGATGTAATGTCTGAATTTTTATTATGTTTGTTTAAAGAACATACCAACTTATTAGTTTATGATCTTTATTAATTTAAAACTAAACATATTTCAAAGGGATAAAAAGTGAAAGCCTACAATGTAAAATAAAATACAAACACTTTAATTTTCCAGAATCCTATTTTCTGAACTCTGTAGGTTTTTCCATTCTTGATTTTTTTTTTTATTGTCCTGCCAGTCTCTCCCTTTATATAATTGTAATTAAAGAAGTGTGTTTGCTTAATGGCATTAGGAGCAGAGGGTGTTTAAACTTAGAAGTCTGACTGACCTTGTGAAGCTGCTTTAACTGGCGTTCAGCAGTGATCTCAGAGCTACCTTTTTAAAATGTCATTGGCTTTCTTACTGCTACACACTTCTGTGGTTAAGCTGCTGCTTAAGATTTTACCAATGTGTGAGTCACTGACTGCTGCTAAAATTACCTTTAAATTGGGAACAAGATTATGTATGTTTTATGTCCTCCCTCCCTCCCCTTCCCTGTTAAAACCACATGAATATACCCCACCTCCGGTCTTTGGTGAAGTAAAACCATCCCTATTCAAAACAGCATTCAAGTATGTACACTTAAATGTTGCCATGAATGGGAGCGGACTAAAGTGAAGTGCATGTGCAAGTGTTTTACTGAATTGGGGCCTACTTTTGGAGATGAATGGGTATGCCTCACTTGAAGGGAAGTCAAACTAATCGACAAAGAAATATTTCCTTTTAGGGAGAACTTACGAAGCGATGGGATAGAGAATGGGAAGGAGAAGAAAGTATCACTTTCAACTCTGTACTCTTTAAAAACAAAGATTAAAGTTTTAGGTGTGCTGCACTGCTGTTGTTGCCTCTTTGCCTGCTTGGTTTCCTTCTCTGTGTGTTTCTCTCAGCATGAATTACATGAAGAATAATCCGTGTCCTAGTTTGTAATTCCCTTTTTTTTTTTTTTTTTTTTTTTCTCGGAAGCATACACGTGCCATTCCTTGTGAACCTTTCAGAGGTTCGTGAAGGTTCTCCAGTTTGTCTTTGTTTCCTACCACTTGACACTGGTTCCCTGAACTAAGGAAGTTGGTGTTCAAAGACCTTGTAAAGGGGGGACTTGGTATGAAATCATGCTGTGGTTTCCCATGTGAGGAGCTTCCATAGATCTCCTTAGTCTTCTGAAAGGACCAAAAAGAAATAATGCACTGCTGTCCTCTTAGCAGTTAAGTTTGTTTTCCCAAAAGACACTGCCCAGCCATAGCAAAAAAAAAAAACCAAAACAAACAAATAAAAAAAAACCCAAACAAAACCTAACAAGGGAACTTAGGGACATTAGTTGTATACATTTCTGTATGGTAAGACCTTTCTGAATGTTAAAATGGTCAGTGTTTTGGGTTATGACTTGACTTGGGCTATCTTATCTGCTGCATCCACATGGAGCATCACAGTTTGCACAGGGGGAAAAGGAAGCCAGCTACAGTTCCCATACAGCAGTAGCTAAAGCAAAACCAATCAATTTATTGATAATACTTTAATCATACCTATTGTGTATGAATCCAAAGGGGGAGGGAGGAGTTGTCCAGGAGCAAGAAATATGCTTAGCTGCATCTGAACTGGGTCTCAAAAATGTAATTCTGCGTTTAGCATCATCTACTGACCACTCTGAACCCAGCACAGGGAAGTATTAAGTGCACTGCACGTGCAAAGAATTTATGAACCCTTCCTGAGGGGCAAAACTTAAGTATCCCTGTTAATGAGGAATTGAGTCCCATCTTGGTATCAGCTGAAGCTCTTTCTTGGGGCTGGAGAAGCAGTTATTTCAATAATAGGCTTCTATATGGGTTGCTATAAAGGGATGAGTGCAGAGCATGAAAAAGAGCAAAATCTCAATTTGTTGCTTTGCAAGTTGTAGAATATGCTCCTACAATTAGCTGGCTAAAGAGATTAATAAAACAATAATGGCTGCAGGGACCTCCTAACAAATGGTATAGCATGAGGCTTTTGTTGTTTGGCTCCTGTCAGTTGCAACAGGTCAACAATAGTCACAATAAACAGTTCCTCTGTTTAGCTTAGCTTGGAAAATACATGCTCATAGTAGGTTTTACAGACATGAGATGCTGCTTCAATTAAAAAGAAAAAAATTAAGACCAAGCTTAGAAGGTTCTGCTTGAATACTTTAGCTCAAGAGTGATTTTATAATTGGGTTGCCTGTAGTGCAGGTTGATCTAGTTAAATTAGTAACTTCCACTAGTGCAGTATCCCAAAGCATCTCTTGTTCCAAGCTGATAGTTTGTGGAAGGGGTGCTGCTAGCGTTTTGAGTTATCTTTAGAATGTAACATGGGTCCATCCTTAGATGCACCCACTGGAGATCGGGGAAAATCTTGGGATAAAGTTCCTCCAACACAACAGTGCATCTGCTTCCTTATGCAGATGTTATTTTCTCTTCAAAGTAAACATGTGTTAAGATTTCTCTTGGATGGGAGTCTGGAGGAAAGTAAAGTTTATTTACTGTGAAATTAGGATTTGCTCCTGAGTTTTATTTTCAAAGCTGAACCTCCAAAATAGAAGGCGTGGGCACCTGAACCTTATTTAAACTGGGAAACTGGGCAGTGAGCCTGACCAGTTTGGGGAATGCTTTCTCTTTCCTCCCCAGCAGAGCACAGAGGTGCCGCATCTGCGTTCGAATGAGTGTCTGAAGTTCCCGTCTGATGTGACCATGAGAATGTGCTGCAACCTGCAACATTTTAATACCTGGTGTCCTCAAGCCTGGAGAGCGATGAAAGGTTTGCTGCCTCTGATAAGAGTCATTGTATATATATTTGACTAATGCATTTCATTCCACATGGTATGAACTATTCTGTATTATGTGAAGTAATGATATTTGATTATATAAGTACATGCTTTCATTTTTCCTCCAAAACACTTGAGTATAGTTGACTAAGAAAATACTGTAGCAGAAAAAGGAACTCGTCTGAGTAAAATGTCAATAGATTTTCTGGTGGTGACTGTAAAGGTGTTAGCCAGCAAGTTTCAGATACATGTTCCTTTCATTCCCAAAAAGCCTTTCACTGTCAGTCGCAAATACAAAAACTTGTGTTTCAATTTTTATTTTGGCATCAACAGTCCGAAGGAACACAATTCTCATTAAAACTCGTCAATTATTTGGACAAAAGCTTTGCTTTTCTTTGTTCCCATTAGAGTTATGAAACAAAAGATGATGGGGAAATTGCTGAGATTTGTCAGAATACTTTGTTCTTTTGCAAAATAACGCAGACGTATTTGTTTAAATGTTCATGAAAACTTCCTGGCAGGTATTCTCAAATGCTAATTGAAACTCTATGTGCCCCAAAAGATGTTTTCAGGAAAAAGGGACGTTTACAATCTGTTAAAAATGTTGTTTTGAGAAAATTACCAGAACTTTAAAGAAATTTGCCAAAGAGAAAAACCACATTAGATTCAATGTTTTGAATATACAGCATTGCTGTGTGTGCATGTGGCCAAAGTAGATTTTTCACCCTATATCTGCTTTAAAAAAGAGAGAGAGAGTGCAACTGAGCAATAGTACATTTCGCTTGTAGTTCTTCAAGCAATAGTTTTCCTCTACCTGTGTGAAAAATTGGTTGTCCAAGGTGGCTTTAAGGAAGAGAATATTACAGTGAGGCTGTCGTATTAGTTGGTTGCCAAGCACCCCCATCTGAAAAAGGAAAGTAAACCTCAAAGCGTACAAGATCCCAAATCTCCTGAAGGAGCATTCCACAACATTGTCCTTCATCTTATTACCACAAAACAGCTAATAAAATCCTGTGCTTTAATAAGGCTGGCTGTAAAAAGACTGTTCTGCTGTTCAAACAGTTCAGAGCCAGACTTTGCTGGTCTTTGATGAGCAGCAAGTTAAACAGCTGCCCAGGTCAGATTCTTTTCTGGTCAAGCATGGAAAAGTGATGATTCAGTGGTAGTGCAAAGATGCAGTGCGCTTTCAGACAGAAAAAAAAAAAAAGGCAAAATTTAATCCTGCAAATACAAATCTCTGTTGCTTCACATCTTAGTTACTTGGATGGCTCTGGCTCTTAGGAAAAGTGATAGGGAACATTTCCTGATTTCTTCATGCAAAAGCTTTTGCTCATCCTGAAGTTGGTTCTCTCCAAAATACATACTCTCACTCTGGTGATGCAATAGTTAGACCAGGAATTTTGGAGGGAAGGGATGTCCTTTTAGCTTTGCCATCTATCTTCTGGCTGAGTGTCCCTGGGAACGCAGAAGTGGTGCTCTCGGCACTGGCTGAAGAGCAGGCAGAAGAAAGGAAAGGTAGGAAAGGTACTTCCCCACTGCTGCTGCCTGCGGGTGACCGGAGGGCAGCGGAGGCCCTGCCCGGCAGAGCTGGGACCTGGGAGGCTGCCCTGCCGATCTCCTCCTGCTTGCGGGTAACCAGGGCAGGCAAATGGGGGAAGACACAGGTGGCTATGCAGGGTGGAAAACGGTGGTAATTGCCTACTTGCAGCAAAGCTGAGTGTTTTTCAGGGCTCCTCCCCTCACCGCCAGCAACACTGTCTGCAGGTGAGTGTGGTTAATCCTCTGCTTTTAGTATTGCCTTTGGTTGCAAGGATCGGTAATGCTTTGGCTGTTGTGTGTCTGTCCCTCGTTTTGGAGGTGTGCCATAGCTCCCTGACTTGCCTTCGTTCTTGAGAACAAGCCCCCCTTCCTTGCTCAGTACAAGCAAGGATGAGGAAGAGGGGGTCCCACGAGAAGGGACCAAACTCGTTTGTTGGAAAGGAGGCAGGAGCAGCCATGTCTCCTGTCTATGCGGCGTGGGAGCCACTTTCAGCTCCATCATGAAACACCTCTGAGGGTTAGGCTGTCCCACAGCTACTCCCATCTCAGTGGTCTCTGGCCAGGCTTGAGGACAGCAGATGCAGTCTGACAGGTAAGGAAAAAAAAGTCCCCAGAACCTGACTGTCACTACAACCAGTCCAACAGCATCATCTGACAGTGCATGGCTCATGTCCTGGCTGGGACCTACAGGGTCCAACAGGATCAAGTAAGCTCCTTGAGCATCCCAG